TAGCTTAGATGGAAGGGGTATAAGGCACCATTCTTTTGACACAGGTTCAAACACTATAACCACAATTTCCTTTTTTTTATTTACTTGAAAATGATGGGAAATTTTGGTGTTAAGTCCTTAAACTGCTTGGAAATTTGAAAACTACCCTAAAATTTTAGGATCTTTTAAACAGGTCTCCAAAATTTCAATTACTTAATAATTTAAATTTAAGCTAAAAAAAAAAAGGGTGTTATACCCAATGCGCTAAAGAATGCGCTACCATATTGGCCATTAATATTGTGATGAAGGGTATCTAGTGAGATATTCATGAGCTTCATTAAGTAACAATATTGTGATGAAGAAATCTTCTTGTCAGTTAGTGATACATGCACTAGAGTCCATAATGATGACAACTCATTCTTCTTTAGACTTGTTTCTACTCAAACCTATTAGAAGAACAATGTCTCGAAGATTCAAATGATATCTATTTGTTAAGTATAATGTGAGTGAATTCTTAAAAGGCTCAAATATTTCTCTCTTTGATGTTTCATATTCGAGGTCAAATACTTTTGTAGAGAGTGAGGATGATACATGAATCACATGGCTCACATCAAAGGATGATGGACTAACGCTTACAATGGATTCACACAATCAAGCCTTGAAAAAAAAAGAATAATAGATCAGAAACTTGAGACTACTTTTTAATGGAATCCTGATGTTATTTGGTCGATACATCTTCTAAATAGTCGATCGAATGTCTCTTATCTTTCAAACGGCTCTTGAATCGCATCAATCCAATATCAAGAACTCAAGATATGGACATTTAAGTGAAGACAGTGCGTGCAGAAATTCCTATACGAGATTATATGGGATTTGTAAATTTTAATATTTTCATCTTATAAATAAAGGTTAGAAAGTTAATTTTCTTGTAATGACAAAACCCTAGAAGCCAAATCCTATTCTCCATGCCACTGCCTTCTAGAAGCTAGTTCTGGACCATCCATCACATCCAACGGTTGAGGATCAAGTCATGCATTCAAATTCCTAGTTTCCATCTCCATTATCGAATCAAGCACTACATTAAGGGCCCAAATTGATGCTTCCCACATCACATGGATTAGGATAGTATTTTATTTATATTTTATTTTTATTTTATTCATCAATCATGTTTACCCTTGGATTCCTCAAACACAATTTAAGGAGGTCATCCCTCTCTTTGTAAATCAAAACTTTTATTCATTTATATACAATATAACAAGAGTTCATTTTTGCATGAGCTGATTGCCATGTGCCTATGAAGCATCTTTTTCTTTAGCTCTTCCAAGTTCTTGAAAGAGAGATTTTCACACTATGGTTTGCCTTTTTATCCCAATTAGGAGGGCTGGTTAGAGTCGTATAATCGAGTTTGCCTTTTCATTGTGACTAGAAGGGTTCGATAGGATATATCCATATATTTTCCATCTTCCATCATCATCCTTATTCTATATACACTTCATGTCATCACCATACACAAACCATAGGGTTTGCCACATCATACATACTACTGGGGGTAAATTTTCAAATCTATTTTTCTCTTAATCCGACCATCCGGTCTTAATTATGCCTTCACAATCTTCTTCATATGTTAATCCTATTTCCAACGAGCATTCATCCATCAAAATCTAGCAACTACATCATTGGGTTCCAACTTCAATAAGGGAAGATCCATTGTTTCCTTGATTACATGTTTTATTCTTTATTTTAATTATTACCCTTGTTTTCTCTTGTCTTTATTCTTCGTTAGTCTTATCAACCTTGCTTTTATTATCTTAGTCTTATCTTCTTTGTCTATTTCCAGAAACTAAAGTTCCTTCAAAACCCTAATCATTCTTCCACCTTCAAACATTCCAATCAAAGCCTTTCATTTCTTCATCGAATCTAGAACCTTCCTAAGTTTGTTTGCTCGACAAAAGTAATGTTCACATCATCTGCTACCGCTTCTTTATCAACTAGCAAGCCAATTGATGATTGAAATAACATGCCCTCAATGATCACCATGTCCCACTCATTTTCATTGGTAATTCAAATGCCATAGGTGAAGTCCACGGCCTTGACCGAATTTGCCTAGTGGATACCTTTAAGTTTGAATGCACAACCATTAACCACTATTGTATTATGGTAATAAGTGATGTTTCCCACTGTTTTATTTCTATATTGCTTAATAAACACTCCATTGACCTTGATCATGTAATCTTCAGCTATTGGCTTACACCATCGATAGACCTTAAGGGCATGCAAATGGGAAATCTGGGAGCATCCTTATCCAATAGGCATCAAGAAGTCAATCGATAGCTCCTTAGCTTTTTTAAATACCTATTAGTCATCCTAAATGGTTTTATCATGAACCCGCTTGCTCCTTTTATTCCACACATTCAAAACAACAACCAGAAAAAAGGGGAAGCCATATCTGTTTAGTTTATTCGATGCTTGCTCTAACTAGTCTTTAGATAAGACAACATGGTAGTCCAAAAGATTCAAATCCAAACATGAAAGAGAAAGAATAGATTTCATTTTGGGGTAGAATTGGAGGGCATCAAGGTAAGCTTCAGTCTCCTGGTTACACATAAGGCATGTTATAATCTCGATTTTTTTCGTAACCTTTTTTTATCGTGTAGGTAAAGCATCATGAAAAACCCACCGACAAAACATTTTAATATTTGGAAGGATGATATTTTTTATAAGGTTCTTCTAGATCTTTGAGCTATCTCCCTCATTCTCGCTTGCATTGGAAGCCAATTATACCTAGATTTTGCTTGATATCTCCCAATAATGTGATGCTCCCATAGTAATACATCTGAGACATGTACCACACACCCACATGATAGGCTTACATTGCCTCCAGGCATAATTACTAGAGGACGAGCCAAGTTACTCAATGATCAACTCCAAACAAAAGTCCATGCCTTCGTCAGTAAGGGCTTCACGCCCACATGGAGTTAGAAGAAATCAAGAAAGTAAAATCACTCATCTTTTCTCCCTCATTAGTATGGATTTCAAGAAGCCAAATAATGTCTGGGCCCAACTATAAAGCTGTAACGCCCCATACTTGGTCCAAGAGTCTGAGCCAGATACCTGAGCGTACATTAGGTTCCAATCATGTTGGATATATCAGGATCCACATTACGCACATTTTTTGAAAGAAAATAAATTAAAATATCTTATTATTCATCATGCAACATTCAATGTAACTAACATGCAATTGAATCTCAATTAAACAAACAAACATTGCATTTAAACGTTTAGGGGTATTTTGGTTATTTCACATCACATAATAAATAACAAGTAAAATATCCCAATTAAGGTTACTACATGTTAAACAGTGTCATAAGGGAGCATCACAAAAAATTTCAAACCAATAGGACATCAAACAATCACTTAATTGATCATACAATATTAGAGACCTAAACGTAAATATAAAAAACCTATGCACCAAACAATGACATGAAAATAAGGGTTCACTACAAGAAAATATACCTTTAATGACACACGAACTATGACACACGCTAATTTATAACTTGCAAAAATGTGTGTCATAAAAAAATGTCATGTTTTTTAAAATTTGAACGATTTATGACTTACAATAATGTGTGTCATATTTAATAGTCATAATCCAAAAAATTTACAAAAACACGAAGTACACTTTTAATTGTTTATCATCTGTAAAATTCATCTTTTAATTTCCCCCATTATTTTCATCCTTTCCCGCTTCTTCTCTTTTTCCCTTTTTCTCTTTGTATCAGTCCACTAGCTTCCCCCCTCTATTATCGTGAAGCACAAAAGATCTTTGTTAACTCCATATATCGATGTCTTCCTTCGTATTCATCCCCCACTCAACTCAGATCACAAATTGCTTCACTCGTTTTGGCGTTTATTTCCATCTGTGGAAAAAATCCCCTCGTACTTACTCAATAACTCAGTGAGTCTGTTGCCCCCGCGAGCTTCCTCCCTTTCTTAATTTTTGTTCAAATTTCTCTTCTTCTAACATCCAACGATTTCTCAGGGGAGAATTTCTCTTTTAGGTTAGCTTTAAAAGATTTGATCTTTCCAATAGAAAAATGTTATCTTTTCTGCATTTTTGTGTTGTTTTTGTGAAATTTATGTAGAATTTTACAATGGGTATTTCCTTTTTCTTCTTGGTGTTGTGTTTTTGGTTTTTTTTATTGATTGATTTGGTAAACTATGGTTTTTTATGTGAAGTTTTGATTTGTTGGTTTGATTTCTAATGAAGGGTTTTTGTTAATTTCATGTAATTTTGGATATGAAAATTGATTTTACTATAGTTGATATGTTATTCTCTTTTGCTATTGCTTCATAGTTTGCGTTTTGGTTTTGTTCTAGAGGTTTTGCTTGTGTTGTTTATTTAGATCAACCATTAAAATTTTCTAGAAATGAATCTGTCTTCAGCCATTGTCTTCTTCATATTCTCTATCTCTAATTTCGACACAGTTTTTGCCCTTTTGGCTCTTAGCATATGAATTTATTTCATTTTCCATTTTGGTTGGTTATCTAGTGATTGAGTTGTTTTTAATGTTGATCATTCATTTTTCTTTTGTTATCATATTTCCTCTACAGGGTATTTTATGTTGACACAACGAGTTTTGAATGCAACACATCGGTTCGCCTTTTTGTAGGAGATATGTTTGTAACTACATCGAAGATGATGGTGGGATGATATGTTGTTATTGAAAAACTCTCCACATAAATGGAACAAGATTCTAGAATCTAGATCTTTTTGATTTCTTGTTAAAATATATACTAGATGGAATAAAGTAGATAGGAAGTTATTACCTCTTGCCTTTTGCTAACTTCTTTATAGACATTTGGAGAATCTTTGGCTCTTGTTGTAATCTGTTAGAAGGACAGTCACTTCAAAACTTGAATTTTCAAAAACTTTTAGGAGTATTTATAGTGATCTCTGGATATAAAGTGTTGTGGATATGTTAAATTCACCTCAAGGAAATAAACAGATCCTCCAAAAATCCATGCAAAAAGGCTCATCTGGTGCCTCATATAAAGATTTGTGGCATGCTGTGGTAGAAGGGTCCTTTCCTGATGTAGATTTTGCATTGGCGCTATTGAAGAAGAATGGAAGTAATATCAATTCGAGGAACAGTTTGGGTCTGACCCCTCTTCACATTGCAACTTGGAGAAACAACATTCCCATTATTCGAAGGCTTCTAGCTTCTGATGCTGATCCTGATGCTAGGGTGTGTAATTCTTATCCTTTTGTTGATCAAATGTTTTCAAGTTCGTTGTGGATGTCTATCAAGTATCCTTCTTTAGAACATGGATGATCTTGTTTTAAACAACATGAAGTCGTAGAGATGTCAGATGTATGATGGTGCAATTAGCTTCAAGCCACTTTTTTTGACTCTTCATAATCCTTGTTCCAGGACGTAGAATCTGGGTGGAGTAGCCTTCATAGGGCTCTACATTTCGATCATCTTGTTGTAGTGAGTGTTCTTCTCCAGTCTGGTGCTTCTATTACATTGGAAGATTCAAAATGTAGAACACCTATAGATCTCATGTCACGGTCTGTCTTGTAGATTTTTGGAAGTGCGCAACATTCAGGTACCTGCTACTGTCTTGGCATAACAGAAAGCCTCTTATTATTGCACGAAAATCAAATCTTTTTCAAAGAAGTATAGAAGAGGAACATGGTATCTGCTATTTCATATTATTAATGTGGCTTTAAAACCTGATTCCATATTTTCATATAATGGGTAATCTTATTTGGTTATAATACCACTATTTGTTGTCATTGAAGATATAGGTGGAAAACTTTTTCTTGTTAGAATGTTGTTTGACGAGTAGATTGACCATTTATATTCACTTCTCTCATATCATTGGAATTCTGCTGTCTCTAACCATAATGTTATGATAGTATTATTTTTTTTTATTTTTGTGTAACTAACGTAAACTTCAATCCTCTTACAGAGTTCATTAATCTTATTTCATCAGAGTCCAATGAAGTTTGTAACAGAGAGGATAAACGAACAATAGCACCTGAGCATGTACTCAAAGCTTTAGCGGTTAACCTACACCCATGTTTCAATTTTGTTCTTTATGGGTGTTATTTGTGCACATTGCTTTGTTAGGGTTGAAAATTAATGCCTTGAATATGACATTTGGATATGTTGTTATGGTTCATGAGCGCCTTTCTCTTTAAATTGTTGTTTCCATATCAAGGTATGGTTTTACTAGAACTATCTCTTTTTTTGTTATGCATTTTTATAAGCTCATGGAATTGATCGTATTAGCAAAGTCTAGGTACTAAAGAAAAATATTTTGCACTTTTCATTAGTTCCATCTGTATTCAGATATGGTTTTATATCATGCTTTGTTATCATGAATATTTAGCCACTTTTAATGTTATTGGTGCACCTATCATTACCTGGCAGATTAGAAATGAAAAGGCAAGGAGGTACCTTAGTAGCATGCGTAAAAAGCCACCGATTCCTTTCTCACAGAAGTTCCCTAATGTGGATCTCGGGGCTCTTCGTCTACTTGAGCGCTTACTTTCATTTGATCTAAAAGATCATCCCACAGCTGAAGAAGTAAGATTGAGAATTCCTAGTATTTAATTTTTTCTTTCAAAAACACTAAAAAGGAAACAAGGTATGCATACAATAGATAACCCTGAAATTTATAGAAAAATGGGGTTTCTTGCTAACATTTTTTTATATTCAGAAAACATAAAGGATATGCTTCCTATAGAATTGAAATCGATGAATGGGTGATCTTGAATGCTACAAATTTTGATTTGATGTTTTTTCAGCATCATTTCATCAAGATATGATAATTCTTCTCATTATTGACATTAAATCAACTACAAATGATAAATCTGACAGTTAGATCATGACTTACAAGCTTCTAATATTCCTAATGGTGTTGTTTTATACTGGTAGGCATTAACTGATCTATACTTTTATGGTTTAGCAAATGTGGATCGTGAACCATCCACTCAACCTATTTCAAAATTAGAATTTGAGTTTGAGAGAAGGAAATTGGCAAAAGATGATGTCAGAGAGCTGATTTATAAAGAGGTACTCCACATTTGTTGCTTTGATATTATCTGGTTTCTATTTATCATATATCTTAACCAATTTGTGGCCTAACAGATATTAGAGTATCATCCCCAGATGCTGCAGGAGTACCTCCGTGGTGGGGATCAGACCAACTTCATGTACCTTTCAAGCTCTTAACTTGTCTTGCTTAATATCCTTTAAAAAAATCCTCTTGTTTCTTAATATGATGTCCAAGATTGTCCTTATACATTTTAGATACAGCTTAGTAAAGTAATACTTTTTGAGCGATTTTGTAGATTGAATCCTCATTTCAAGTTATGTAGTGCTTAAGCGAAATATAGGGGGTAGAGGTCTGGAAATTCTAAATTTCAGTTGATAACATTTGCTTTTTGCATTGCAAATAACGGTATTCTTTTTCTTTTTTCAATCAAATAGTGGCGTTGAACAATTCAAACGATAATTTGCACATTTAGAGGAGCATTATAGTCAAGGTGAAAGAAGTACTCCACTTTTGATTTTTCACAAGACTCCCCTTTAGTAGAACTTGATGATGATTTCTTGTGTACACGCCCGGATGGTGAGGGCATATTAGTAGAACTTTATTATGCCGTGATATTTTGTATCGACATATGATTACAATATTTTTGATAACTTAATGTGAATATATTGTATGCAAATGGATTGCTTATATATAATATGATATATATTTAGTATCAAGAGGCATTAAATGTGATTTAGATTGATTATTTATCAATCTACAATATATATATATATATATATATATAATTTACAAAATATAATCACGACACACGAATGTGTGTCATATTCATTTATGACGGGGGCTTCAATGACACGCAATGTAAGTCATACATGCGTGCCATAAATTTATGACACACAAATATGTGTCATCTTCATTTATGACGGGGGCTTCAATAACGCTCAATGCGCATCATAAATGCGTGTCACAAATGCGCGTCATAGATTTATGACACATAATTGCGCGTCATCAAAAATTCATGTCGGTGGCTTCAACGACAGGCATTTGTGTGTCATCCAGATGATGCGCAATGCGCGTCATTAAAGGGGTTTTCTTCTAGTAGTGGTTCTATTATTTGATTAAGTTTGCTAAAGAATTGATTACTCAAATCTCATCAAATTCCAATTTAAGAGTTTAAGTAATTAAGTAAATCAATTCTTGGGTTAACTTCAACTCATATAATCATTCAGGGGTCAAATTAGAATTTAAGAATACTTGAGACCTTTGATGAATGCAATTTCACCTTTTTTTCATTGAGCAAAACAGCAAAGAGATCAATACTTTCTCGATCCTTTTTCATATGGATCGATCTGTTTGAAAAGGGATCAATTATTTGCAAAACAGAAAGTTTGGGATCGATCCTTTCCCCTAAAGGATCGATCCTTTTTCTGTAAAACTGCAGATTTGCTATGAACATATATTTGGTCAACTAATCACCCACATAAAAGTAATCATGGAATAGGAACATGCTTGTACACTATTCAACCAATTCATACATGTCAAGACAAAGGTGTACCATGCTCTATAACACAAGTCAACACATTAATCAAGGATTTGGCACCAAAAGTCAACAATTGCATGAAAGTTCGTTTCAAACACAAGTTACGTACTCATTTTTGGAATTTAAGGTTGTTTCATTCAACCTAAGAGTCTAACACGTTTAGTTTACCAAGTTACACTTAACTAGACATTCCAAAAACTTCTTTAGGGTCTAAATCGACATTTAAGTAATCTCATGCTTCAAGCAACAAGTTCATACTTATAAATCCAATGTCAAAAAAATCAAAACAACATCAAATCCCGAACGTAAATCCACTTATTACAAACCAAAATCCAACATTATAAGTCCAACAAAGTGAATAATAGGTATAAGTCCCAAACATCCCTAAATTGCCACACAAAGTTTTTAAAAACCACATACGTATAGCTTTATGCCTTATCCTTGCTTCATCACACCGATGAAAAGCTCCTCACCTCCAAGCTTGACTCTAAACCTCTAAAAAATGTTAACAACAAGTGTGATATTATAAAGCCTAGTGAATGACTAACATTCAAAGCAATGCACATAGCCAAGATAAAGATCAATGCTATATGTTCATACGTAACTTGTTCCTTACTTTAAACATATAATTCAACATCTCATACTTCAATGATCAACTAATATTTTCCAAATCACTTGATTTCCAGATTAAACAAACATCAAAGGACCATATAGTTCAAAAGCAATCACAAGCACACATGCACAATTACCTTGACAAGACACACAATCACATACATTTTTCCATTTTAAGATCAACGAATTTTGTTTGAAACACAACTCGCTCAGTGGATAACGGACTCCATACAACTCCCATTTTGCTTACGGAATCACATAGATCCAAAACCACAAATTGTGGAGTGAATTCAACACCTAACCTTACCCCTTATGTTCTCGAAGCAAAGCTCAACGTACCATCCGAACCCCGTATAATCCCAAATCACACACTAGTACAAAACAAATAGAGTACTCTTTCCTAGGCATGTCTTTCATATCCAAAGGTCCTATTAAGAACAATAGCCAATTAATCCAATTCACCAAGAGCAGTTGTCAATGATGCATAGTTTTCACAAATCGATTCAAATACACTTTGAAACACGCTTACAAATTTGGTAGTCATGATCAACTCACATATTTGGACAGTGAGAAAGTTCAACTCATCCAATTCACATTCATAATATATATGGATTTTCACAAAATCATTTCCAAAATCCTATGCATAATTTGGAACACATCACATTCTTATTTCCAATGTAAATGGCATCATATGTAAGTCTACATAATTCATATTTCATCATCATAACTAACCAAATAATACAATATATATCTGAAATACAATGCAACACTATACAACCTCAACCTTGAACCATGTTCATTTCCTAAGAATGAGAGCTATTGACCTTACTTTATGAAAACCAAAAATGCTTCCAAACACTACCTCAACATTTACCAAACTCAAAGAACCAAGTTTTCTCAACCAATAACACAATAATAACCTTGCAAAGAAAATTAACACATCAAATCTAATCTAAAACAAAACAAAATCCTCAGCTTCTAAAACAGAACGCAAATGTTAAAAACACCGAAAACCTTACTGAAACATCACTCTGGAAGTTCCAAACCGAAACGCATGAATCTCCATACTAAAATCTAATAAAAAAACAACTAGAATCAACATCTAACTCATCTATAACTGCATAAATCAACTTCTACAAATCTAAATTCACGGTTTCCCAAAAATACCTAAAACCGACTTTGTTTTCAAGAAATCAGCATCCAAATCATTTGGGATGAAAAAACTAATTTAATATGATTATAATCACTCCAAAAACAACTCAATTTCATTAAGATAAACTCAAAATTAATTAAAGAAATCAGCACATTAATTAGCTCCAAAAATCAATTAAAATCTTAGAAATCCTTTCAATTAAATCAACACTTCAATAGAAACATTAACACATAGTCACTTGCCCTCGAAGGTTGAAAGAAAACCAAGGAAAATATCCTTACCTTGCCGGAAAATACATTGAAATTGAGATCACCAATGGAACTCCATTATGATCAAGCTTTAAAACAAGAAGATAAGAGAATAAAAACTTGAGAATTAAAATCAATATTGAGATGAGTGAATTTAGAAACCAAGAAGAAAAAGAGAAAGAATTGATCAGCTTGTTTGGGAGAAAATGACAGAAAATGGAGGAAATTACGGGAAGTTACCAAAATGTAAAATAAGAAGGAAATGAAAAGCACATGAATGAAAACAAGTAAAAACGGAAATATAATTTAGATTAAAATGAATCTTAGATGGAAAAATTATAAAAGAGAATATTAAAACATTTTAATTTAAGAGGGAAAACTCTAAATATAAGCCTTTGTATAATTGCTTCATAGACTTTGGACATTGTGAAAATTTACAAAATGATCATCGAAATTATAATTTTCAATTCTTTCAATTCGATCACCAATTCATTTAATTAAACTTTCATACTTAAAATTAATCATCTAAAATAACTTAAAACCTTTTCAAAATATTTTAAAAACCAAAATATAATTTTTTTAGAAATTTTCTTCCTTTTTATCAGAAATTTGGAAATCGACCCTAACTACCAGACCCGACTTTAGGACTTTACAGAAGCCCATGGAGATGTACTTGGGATTGATTTTGAACCACCCTGAACCTTATACTCTGTAATGTTACCCAGTGTTATATTTATAAAGCTTGGGATAACTCGTAGATTTAGTAATTGGAGTTTCTTTTATTTAATTTATGATCAAGCCCAATAAGCCATTGAATGTAACCTTTGATACATTATCATCCTACTAAAAAAATTCCATCATGCCAAAGCCCTTATCCACAAGCCTTGATAACATATCAAGATTGATTCCCCTTACTTATCACATGCTTAGGTGTCTATCAAGAGAATTATCACCATTGCCACCCCACCATCTTCTAGAAGGGAAATGTTGATCGTTCATCAAGTC